TATCGGCGCTGATTTCCTGAAGCATTTTTCTCTAGTGGTAGATGTTAAAAATCGCAGGTTAATTGATTCACTAACCGAACTGACAGTTTCAGGTAACAAAGCCTCTGTAATTTCACCTAGCCCAATATTTGCCATGCCTAACAGTGACAATGCTATTACTTCCTTGCTTAGCCAATATCCAGAAATAACTAGGCCAAACTACAAGGAAAATTCCGTTAAGCACAATGTCACTCATCACATTAAAACTACTGGACAACCAGTGTATGCACGTCCTAGACGACTTGCTGCAAACAAACTGCCAGCAGCTAAAGCCGAATTTGATCATATGTTGGAATTAGGGATTATTCGCCAATCAGATAGTCAATGGTCCTCACCTTTACACATGGTGCCTAAAAAATCCGGTGATTGGAGACCTTGTGACGATTATCGTGCTCTAAATAATATCACAGAACCCGATAGATACCCCATTCCGCATATCCACGATTTTACGTCAAGTATACATGGTAAAAAGATCTTTAGCAAAATCGATCTAGTTAAGGCTTACCATCAAATACCTATTGCGACTGAAGACATTCCTAAAACCGCGATTACTACACCTTTCGGCCTCTTCGAATATATTCGTATGCCGTTCGGTTTAAGGAATGCAGCTCAAACATTTCAGAGATTTATCGATCAAGTCTTGCATGGTCTCGATTTTGTTTACGCATATATCAATGATTTATTGATAGCGAGTGATGATGCCGAACAGCATGAATGTCATCTTAGGCTACTTTTCGATCACCTTCGTGAATTTGGTGTTGTAATCAACCCAAGCAAATGTGAGTTTGGAGTAACTAGCCTAGAATTCTTAGGTCATAACATCGACTGTCGCGGTATCAGACCTTTGGAAAGTAAGGTTAAGGTTATCCAAGACTTCCCAGCACCAACCTCACTGCGTAAACTGCGAGAATTTTTGGGATTGATACATTTCTATCGGCGTTTTATTCCACACTGCGCTGACATTTTGCAACCTTTGACAGATCTTCTTTGTTGCAAGCAAAAGAACATTGCGATTGTGCTTTCAGAACAAGAATTACTTGCCTTTCAAAGAGCTAAATCCACTCTAGCTGAAAACACCTTGCTAGTCCATCCAGTTAGCGATGCTCCACTTTGTTTAATGGTCGATGCGTCAAATTTTGCGGTTGGTGGTGTACTTAATCAGTGCATAGATAATGAAATGAGACCAATCTCGTTTTTTTCTAAGCGTTTACAGCCAGCAGAGACCAGGTATAGTACATTTGGTCGTGAGTTGTTGGCCGTATACTTATCGATACGCCATTTCAGATACTTTCTAGAAGGTCGTGATTTTTATATCATAACTGATCACAAACCTTTGATTTACGCATTCAAGGCAAAGCCAGATCGCTACTCACCGAGAGAAATTCGTCATTTAGACTACATATCTCAATTCAGTACCGACATACGCCACATTAAAGGCAAAGAAAACGTTGTAGCAGATGCGCTCTCAAGGTATGACGTGAACTCACTTAATCACACAAGCCTATCAAACACAATTGTGGATTTCGATCAAATAGCACTTAAGCAAAAGACAGACCCAGAGCTAATTAAGCTACGTGAATCGTCTAGTCTTCATTTTGAAGAATTGCCTATTCTAACATCACATAATACCATTATTTGTGATACATCAACTGGTCAACCACGCCCATATATTCCATCAGAGTTTAGGCATGATATATTTGATTCACTCCATGGTCTATCCCATCCAGGCATTAGAGCAACACAACGCTTAATAACTCAAAGATTTGTATGGCCTTCTATCAATAAAGATGTTCGAAATTGGACCAAACATTGCATTCAGTGTCAACGTGCCAAGGTACATCGTCACACAGTGACTCCGATAGGTACCTTTGCAACACCTGACGCTCGTTTCAGCCATGTACATATTGATATCGTCGGTCCCTTGCCTCCATCTAATGGTTTTTCATACTTACCAGGTGGCCTGTAGCAATACCAATTTCTAACATTACTGCAGAAACAGTTGCAAAAGCTTTTGTCAGCAATTGGATAGCCACATTTGGCGTCCCTACTACAATTACTACTGATAGAGGTAGCCAGTTTGAATCAAATCTTTTCAAGCATCTATCACAACTACTTGGTACAAAACGTACTCGCACCACTGCTTACCATCCAGCTGCAAATGGATTAGTTGAACGATTTCATCGTTCCCTCAAATCAGCTTTCAAAGCACAAAGCGAACCAAACAGATGGACCGAGTCATTGCCACTCATATTACTTAGTCTTCGTTCATCTCTGAAAGCCGATCTGGGATGTAGTGCTGCAGAGTTAGTTTTTGGTTCCACTCTTCGATTACCAGGAGAGTTAGTAGTACCTGTCACAAATTTAGATAGCCTAGACCCTGCCAGTTATGTTGACCGATTACGTCATCAAATGTCTGAACTTAAACCGAAATCAACTAGACCTAACCAACACCCTAGTCAAGTATCTAAAGATTTGTTTTCCTGTACACATGTCTTTGTGCGTGTAGACGCTGTCAAAAAGCAACTGCAACCTCCTTATAATGGTCCATATCGCGTCATTGACAGAAGAAATAAATATTTCATTCTTGACATCAATGGTAAACATGATTCAATTAGTGTTGATAGGTTAAAGGTTGCCCATACTGATTTCGAGTCCAAAACACCAACTCCAGATCAACAAAGTGATCAGAAACAATTTGTTCCATCCAGCATCACTCCAGACAAATCAGAAAGATTCACTCGTTCTGGACGGCGTGTACGCTGGCCAAGCAGATATTTGCAGACAGTCTTTGTAAATGAATAAATTTTCTTTTTGTAAATGTTTTGGTAATTTAATATTTTTTTTTATTATCGATCACATTTTTGTGTAACTGTGATCTAGAAGGGGGCTACTGTAGTGAAATTCCTACAGCAGCTGTATATATTATGTGCAGTCCTGGCCGAAGAAATAAAAAGTCAGTTAAGTCCTTTTTTGTTCCGAGTTCTGCCCTAGTGGCCAAGGCATTTTTGTGTTCTATTGCCCATTGTGTTCAGTTCTTTTGACTGGGCAGGGCAGGGCATTCCATTCTACGCGTCGGTATATAAACCAGGAGCACATGCTTTCACCACCCCACTCCTTCGCTGTGTAGAGACTTAGCAGTGTTATAGTCGTCTACTCTACAGTTCCAGTTGCCATTTTTATGCCATATGTGTCCGGATACGGGAATAGGAACCATTAGGCAGTGTTTGCTCCTTACAGTGACTGTTCCCGTGGAAGGACACACTAGTTTTTGTATATACGCCTGTAAATAATTATCATCGACCAAACCAAGAGAAGTTTGACGAACAACCAGGAGTCCAGAAGAAGCCGCTGCAAGTTTAGAGCGCAGACTCCAGATATTAATTTAGGGTAAATATTTATAATATAACTTAGTCCCTAAAGTATAACCGTTTCCACACTTAGACCTTGACAATCAATTCCTGACATCGTTCTCTCTGACAGCATTACTCCTATCCTCATATCGCCGGCCTCGATCCAAGGCTCCAAGTACACAAAAAAAACTTGCTCTGGCGTGGCCCTGCATTCTATAGGTACTCCCATTTTTGAGGATATTTTTGTTCTGATGTGTGATAAACATGCTCCTTTTAAACAAATTCAAATTCCTATTGTAGTAATGTGACAAGAGAAGGTTTTATGGGAAGACAATGCAATGTGTTTATTCCAAGATGGCGACTTACATGGCAAGGTTATTACATGTGCATAACATGTTGAACACAAGAGGGGGCTGTACAACATAGCCATGTTGGCTTACTCTACACCTCCCCTTAAAGTCCAAAGAGTTATGGGAAGTTAGGGGCCATTCAGAATTTTCAATGTTTTAAAATTTCAATCTTTTGTCCAAATTGTGGGTGGGTGGGTCAAGCTAAATAATTGAAAATCGAAATTCACTTTCCATGGAAAAAAGATAAAAACAACAAAGAAAGATAGATCTGTTGACTTGCCTGAACTACGCGCAAGCGTTCCGATATCGCGATGCGTGTTTCTTTTCCAACTTCGTCCCCTGTATGTACTGTACATGTACTTCATGTACGTGTATATATAGACCCACTGTGGCATGAGGGATGTGGTTTTTCAGTAGACTTGGACGCCGGGCGTTTGTAGCGGTTAGGCCGTGCAGAGGCAGCAGGGTACCAGGTGTACTTGATCGGCTCTATAACACGCCGCGGGTGTCGATTACCCATCGCTATAACAACTGGACTATTCAACCACTGGACTCCAAGACTACGAGGACCGCAGCCTGTGATGTGATGTCTGCCCAAACCTGATTTTTTTTCTTTCGCTTGTACCCCCCGCCCTGCAAACAGGGGGGGGGGGGGGGGGGATATGAGCGAATGTTTTTCTCAGCTTCCTCACGTGTCAGGCACAACCTCTTATGTCACATGTCATCCACCTCATCCAGAAAACAACAAAACCACAGTCATCTTTGTGGCTTCCAAAACTGCAACCTGTCATTCCCAACAGCATATCAGCTGGCAAAACACAAGAAAACTGAAGGTCACCAGTGCAAAAGAGGAAGACCGACAACTTCACGCCGTCACTGAACTAGACACATGAACATGGGTATACATGTTCATGTTCAAGTATATGTACATGCAAGTGCATGTACATGTACATGTTCAGTTTTTTATTAATCGAAATGGGTGGGTGGGTGGGTCAAAATAATTTGGAAAAAAAGTCGAAATTTTAAAACATTTAACATTTTGAATGGCCCCTTAACTTTGTGACTTGAGAAGAGTTTTGAGCTAGTATGTTTTCTCTTTTTTTTTAACTAGCAGAACATGCAACTAACAGTTGATTATATATAAGGTTAAACAATGGTTAAGAGTCCACAGTCGAAGTGTCCATGAGTTTACATTGGATGTATTGATTAGGGCACTTCAGTTGCGTCGCACAATGCCCTGATCGGTTTGAACTACATAGGATCAAAGTGATTGGGATTTCTCAACACCTTTGCCCTCGTGGTTTTGGTCTCGAATCCAGACCAAATAACCTGGCTGCAGAGTGGGCAGTTCCTGTGCTTTGTGTCTCTTGTTGAAGGTCATTTGTTGAGCTGATCTGTAGGCATCCTCTCTGGTACGGACTTTGTCAAGATCCTCATCTATGCACCCTTGGTTTCAGAGTGCTTGGCAGAACAGGAAGTTGTTTGCATAGACGCCTGCCTATCAGTAATTCACTTGGAGATAGGCCATTTTGAAGTGGGGTACCTACATGTGAGAAGGGCAAGGTACGGATCTGAGTTTTTCTTGAGGAGTGCTTTTGCAGTACGAACTGCTCTCTCAGCCTCCCCATTTGCTTGTGGATATCGCGGCGAGCTTGTGGCGTGCACAAATCCATACATTGCTGCAAACTGTTGGAAAGTCTTGGCACTGAACTGGGGACCATTGTCAGACATGACAATATTGGGTATGCCATGCACTGCAAAGATAGGTTTCAGTGCTGCTATCCCGCTGTGTGAGGTTTGCTCGTTGAGTTGTTTGACTTCTATCCAGCGGGAAAAGTAGTCGATGACTAGGAGGTAGACATTCCCGAAATGCTGGAACAGACTCATGCCTAGTCGTTCCCATGGGCGTGATGGGAAGGAGGCAGGCATGAGCGGTTCTTTTATCTGAGGTCGTTCTTTGGCGCATGTGGTGCATTTGGTGACCATTTCCTCAATACCTTTTGACAGTCCAGGCCACCAGACCGACATTTGTGCTCTTGCACGACACTTGGTGATGCCGAGGTGTCCCTGATGTATGCAGTCGAGGATTTCCAGATGCATTGTTCTCGGGAACACTATGCGTTCGTCGTACAGCAGTAAGTCGTTGACGATCGCGAGATGGCTCCTGCTTTGCCAGTATTGGCGAAGTAGTGGGTTGTGGGGCATGTATGCTGGCGAACCTGTTAGGCAGTACAGTCTGATTTAGGAACATTCCTCATCTGCCTTTTGAGTTTGGCTGATTTCGCAGAGGCGTTGTGAGGAGGTGGTAAGTGTGTTGACAACAACACAAAGTTGTCTGTGTCCACGACGAACGCAATGTTGGATTTCTCAGGGATCCCGACTGGAGCTCGTGAAAGTGCGTCGGCTGTTGTCTGATGTTTGCCAGGCACATACATGATTTGTGGGTTGAATCTCATTAGTCGGAGACAAAACCGTAGAATGCTTGGTGGCATTTTTGACTGTTCAGTCATGCTCAAAAGCGGCACTAGGGGCTTGTGATTCCTTTTCTATGACTGCATAGCGCTTCTCTGTGTCGCTCAGCGATCTCAATGCATAGCACACAGGGCGGCGATTGCAGTCATCTTGAATTCGGAGCAGAACTGCACCGATACCTGTCATGGAAGCATCGGCTGGGATGATTGTTGGGCGGTTTGGATCATAGTGAGCGAGGATCTCAGAGGAAACGAGTGTATCCTTTAGTTGCTGAAATGCTCGCTGTTGTGCCTCGCCCCAATACCAGGCACTATCCTTACGGAGTAGCTGTCGTAGTGGTTCATTGAGATCAGCTAGTCCAGGGATGAATTTCCCCAGCTGATTCACCATGCCCATGAACCGTTGTAGCTCTGTGATGTTTGTGGGTGTGGGGAACTGGACAATGGCTGCTGTCTTCTGGGTATCTGCACGGAGACCAGATGCATCTACAATGTGGCCAAGGAACTTGATTGTGTTCCTTGTAAACTCACACTTGTTAGTGAGTGTTAGTCAGTGTTGTAGTCGAGACCGGATAGTCCGAGACCAAGACCGAGACCTGAAGTTGCAAGACCGAGACCGAGACCGAAATGGTCCAAGACCGAGACTGAGACCGCAGATGATAAATAACAGTAATCTAAATAAAAAAAACAAGACACTAATTACAGCTGAACAGTCTGTCCTGGAGATGATGATGTCGATGGGGATGTGATTCATGTGAAGGAAGTGATTGAAAGCTAGGAATCACTTGTACCTGCTTAATTGTGTCATGCGAGTGCTCTTCATGTTTGCTTCATACCAAAAATTACAACATGGCAACAGAATTTGTTATTGTCACAATCAATTAAAAAATTGGAAACAACCTAGTTTAAAGAAGGGCAAAACCTAATTGATGAACTCCATAATTGTTGCCACTTTTTTTAAATTATTTTTTTTTAAATATTGTTTAACTACTATAAAGTGTAAATCTGATGAAGAAACTCTCAACTTAGGAGTACGACAATTTTTACTAATTTTTTGCAATGTTGGAACTTGACAAAAGTAAAAAGTTGAAGGTGGATGTTTCATCTGTTATAGGGACTCGGACCCTAAACTCCACAGCCACCCCTTGGTTTCAGCTATGACTACTAACGGATATTTAAATGTAACTTTAATTTTACATTGGGCCTCCTTGTAAACCTGATTTCCAAAAAAAATTGGAGCATTAAAACATTGATTTATTTTTAAAATATCAGTCATGGAATATCGACTTGCACATGTAGACCCAAAAGTTGAAAGGCGGTAGCCAGATATGAATTTTTATTTTTTTTCTGACTGGGATTTTGCTTTCTGAGGGAATAATGGGGTACTTCAAATGAGCAGCCAGAAAATCGAGTCTTATCACACACTGTCATGGCAACAGTGAATGGTAACTGGTAAGAGTGTGTAAATTCATTGCTGGAAAATCAGGTAGAAAAATGTACTCTTTCTCCAAAATATTATCACAAATTAAAGAGAAGATTGGGGTCGAAAATGTCACTAATTTGGAGCGCCTCATTTATTTAAAAAATAACAAAAATACATGTACTTAACACCAACAGGGGTGGGCTAATTAACAATACAATCCCCGAAAATGGTTGTCCCTTATTGCATAAATTGGTACTTACTTTGCTTTATGTGCGCGACCCAAATTTCGACATTTTGGCTGGTCTCGACTCGAGACCAGCCAAAATATTGAGACCAAAGGGGACCGAGACCAAGACCGAGACCACAGCTACCGAGACCGAGACCGAGACCAGCAAAAAGTGGTCTCGAGACCAAGGCCGAGACTGAGACCGATCTCGAGACCTACAACACTGGTGTTAGTCCTGCCTCTTGCAGTCGTTGTAGGGTTGCTCTCACCCTGTGATCATGTTCAGCTTGAGATGTACCGTGGATGAGTATGTCGTCCATGTGGCATATGACTCCCTCGAGGCCCTCCAGAATATTTCCGGTGCAGAACTTATGCCAAAGGGCAGCCTGTTGAAACAGTATCGACCGAAGGGCGTGATGAATTTCGTGAGCAATTTTGACTGATCATCCAGTGGAAGTTGCCAGAAACCACTGTTGGCATCGAGCTTGGAGAATATCGTGCTTTTACCCGGCTAGAATTTCGTCGACAGACAACATGGGGTGAATCTCGCGCTCGACCTCTTTGTTTAGCTGTGTGAGGTTGACATATATGCGCACAGTGCCATTTGATTTGGGCACTGGAACAATTTCCGAGCACCAATCAGTTGGTACAGTCACTGGCGAAATCACTCCTTGTCTTTAGCATTGATTCGATTTCTAGTTTTACCTTTGGAAGAAGCGGATGCGGAATTTTCCTTGGCGTATGTAGACTCACAGGCTTGGCAATTTGGGCGGAGTGTGATGTGGTACTCCGTCTTGAGTTTGCCCAAACCCGTGAAAAGAGCTGAAAATTCAGCACGGAAACTGGCTGGTGGTGAACTTGGTTGAACCTCATTGATTCGTTTGATGAGGCCAAGTTCGATGCATGCTCTTTTGCTGAGCAAGGAACAGTGTTGGCTTTGGATGATGTACAGTTGTTCCTTGATTTGTCCCTGCCGATACTGAAGTGTTGCATCTAGCACACCAAGTACAGGAAGATGGGTGCCGCCTGGCCCGCGTAGGGGTTGACTTGTTGTATTTAGCTTCTGTCCAGCTAGCCAAGGCTCAGCATCGCTGACGACAGAAACTGTTGCCCCAGTGTCCAACTTGAAGCATGTTTTGTGTCCATTGACAGATATCTCGGCTGTCCAGTAGTCTTTGTTGCAGGAGACTTCACCAAGGAATGGTAAGTCTGAGTCATCATCTAGCAGATCCTGCACCTCGTGAACTACAAACACTTTTGTAATGTCCTCTTTTGTGACAGTTCAAGCAAATCGAGTCTTTGGCAGGGCAGTGAGCACGATTATGTCATTCTTTCCCACACCATGGGCATGGGTGTGGCAGATGACTGTGCATTTTGGCGTTGGCTTTGTCCGATTCAACTCGTTCCCTTGTGGGATGCAGATGACGACCGGAGGTGATCGACTTGTGAAGGTGAGTCTATTTCACCGCTCACCACATCTCGGTTTAATTTTCGTGATTTCGCCTGGCAGCAGATCTGGACTGCTTTGTCAAGGGTGAGGTCAGATTTGGACTGGAGATGATCTGACAATTTCTCATCTGACACCCCTATGACTATTCTATCTCTTATGAGACTGTGTTTCAGTTCCACGTATTCACAGTGGTCAGCTAGACGGTACAGGTCCTTAATGAAAGCATCGATAGGTTTCCCTGGCTGTTGCTTTCGTGTGTTAAAGCGAGCCCTTTCTACAATGACATTACTGTTACATGGTTCTATCTAAGATTGAGGCTTGGAAAGACGACACATATCGTCTCTCTAGTTGCCTGTGGTAGGTGCATACCCAGTGGCATACCTATCCCAATTTGGGACACACTCTCGGGCTTTGCACCCAGGTCAAAAACAGCAGTAAAACTAGAAGGAGGCTGGGAATTTGCATTAGGACTACATGTACTACCATACTCACCCCAACCCCCTAAAGGGGAGGGACCAGCTACTTGCGGAATAGCCACTGGATGGATGATTGCCGTAACTTCTAGCAAGGCCTCGGAGCTAGTGGTACTGGAGGATTCGCAGCAATCGTGCCCTCATTAGTCCTCTTTGTCTCAGTTGGTGCTGCGTCGACCTGGCCATCATCAAAATGGGTTGGCCGGCTCACCAAGTGCCAGGGTCAAGGCATTGTTGCAATAAAGTAGGCGACAGTTACTTTTTTAAACAAGAGCTTAGTTGGATGCGGAACCAAGGAAAACAATTGAGTCTAGGCAAAATTGTCAAACTTTCTCCGGCATAAAGGTCGTCAGCTAGATAGTCAAGGAGAAATCCAGTTAACTCCAGTTAGAAGATAAACTTGTTGAACCTTTTGCTGGCTACATGGTTGTCAGCAAGACAAATAAGAGTATATCCCACTAAAACTTCAAGGAGAACTCCAGATAACTCAAATCAGAAGATAAATCAAACTTTCACTGGCGTAAAGGTCATCAGCCAGATAGAAAAGAGTCCAGGCGAACTTGGTTCAATAAATACCAGTAAATCCAGCAAGATATACTCCAGGCAAATTCAGCCCAAAAACTTTCAAGAGCAATTGCAAGACTTTCGCCGGCTTTTAGAGTATATCTCGCTCAAAATTATAGGAGAAATCCAGTTAACTTCAGAAAGTGATTTAACTTATTTAGAAAAACTTTTTCCAAATAGGTTTTGATGATGCTTCATCAAGAGGCTGTGACAAAGTGAGGTGGGGTATAACTAAAGCCCCCTATTTCCCCCATCTTCCTGGGTACAGTAAGCTCATTGGTTGAACTTTGACCCTCTTTTCTCCTGATTGGAGAAGAGCCTACAACTAATTTCCCTCTTATCTGCATAACACAGGATCGCCTTATCCGGGAATAGCTCTGGGGGGGGGGGGGGGGGCTCAGCGCCTAGTGCGCACGGCCGTCTGTGTGCCTCTTCTATTCGTAAAAAGGGGTGTGCAGAATAGTGATAATAGAAATATCCCTTTTAAAGTCGTAATTTTAACGCTTTCTGGTTTCTACAAACGTTATTCAAGCTATTGTTCTATAGCAAATGAGTATATTAGTCCACTTTATTCTAGAAAAGAATCTGTATTCGCTTC